CATGGATCCTTGACGAATGACAAAATCATGGACTCGTGATCGATGCGTATCTGTCCTTTGGCCCTTGACCGAGAGCAATTGCCGAGAGGCACACGTCGCCGGGCGTATTAAGTGCGAAGAAATCACCTTGAAAATCACATCGGGGCCGGCTCGACTCCGCACTCGCATTATCATTGGGTTTCCGCCGCGGCAATCGTATCGATAGACGGTTGCTCGATGCTCGATCCTCGAGCGTCTGAAAGGCGGGTGACTGGGGGTGGTGGAAGGCGAGACAAAGAACGAAAGTGAAACGACGAGAAAGATGCAATCGTAACGAACTACGTATAAAGAAGGCCCGATAGTCAGACATGCGACATTTTTTCATTGTTCACCGACAAACGATCACCGAAACCGGAACAGACCATGGTATCGCGCCACGTTTCCGCCACGTTTCTCGTCTCTCTCGTATTTTTCGCCGCCTTTGTCAATTGTGTATCCAAGGAATATAATAATTGTGAGTAATTCACGTTTGTTGGTATGGTATTAAGAATTTTCTATTTTTTTCTTTTTTTTTTTTTAGTAATCTTTTTCTTTAGTTCAGGTTTATCGGTATTATTATTAATTAATTCGAATAAATGGGGAGGATTGTATTGTATGCGATGGGGAAACGGAAGCAACAATTACGATCGTTACGATATTGGAATTTGTTTTGTCTTTGTTAATTCGAATTTCGATGTTGAAAATTGATATTAAATTATTATAATTAATTAAACGTCAAATCAATCCTATTCTATTTATTATGGGTTGAATATTTTCTGACTTGAAAAATATCATAACGATACATAATACGATGAAAAATATTTGATGGAAGAAAATATTAGAAGATATAAAAAAATTGACAACTTTTCCGATTGTAGATTTATATTAAAAAATGGAAATGAATAGGAAGTAAAGATGAATCGTTAATAATCGGCAAAAAATAGAGAATTAACGATCTATCGTATTAAATTTGAAAACTATCATTCGAAAATTATTTTCGAAAAAGGAAATAGGGATAGCAATCTATAAAAATAAATTCGTTGAAAAAAAAAATTCAAGCCAGACAAGAAAAAATCCATTTAAATCTATTTATTCGATTTCCGCTGTTAACATTTTTATCAGCCATATTTCAAAAGTATCGAGTTCAAAATATTCGAATCAAGTCCTTCGCAAATACGATTGATCTCATCGAGTTTGATACATCAAAAACAACCGCGTTCCGAAAATCCGTATCGATCCTATGATATTTATTAAACGTAACAATTTTACGCGACATTAGCCCCCGTCGATAACCTATGCGTGAACGAAGGGGCAGAACAGCGTAAATTGCAGTTACGCGAAATGACAGGCTTAACATTGGATTTTCAGAGTCATTCATTACCGAATGAATGCAGCGATGCACTTGCGCCATACCAGCCAGTCACGCGCGATTGCTTCTTAAAACGAATTGAATCTAATTTAAATCCATTCACCTTGAAATATTGACGCCACCAATCTCTTTAGAAAAAGCGGATTTTCATAATCTCGAACGTTAATAATCGAGATATCACATTGAACGATTGAAATTATTTACAGAAACTGATCAAACGATTAATTTCTCTCTCCTTAATAAACAATTCTTATAGAAATCGCAACGGCTTCGATCTTTTATTCAAAATTGCATAAAATTTTATTTATCACGATTCCAATTCGATGTGATATATTCAATTTCTCGTACAATGTATGAAGAGATTTTTTTTTTTTTCACATTACTGATATCCCAATGTATCAGAAAACCGGGCGTTGTACGCGGAAATTTTTCGCTGTACGCGGAAGGCTAGAATAGAAAAATGAGCGTATAACCTAGTCGAAGGCCGACGGAATTAGGCAACGTATGGCCTCGACGAGCTCGATGACTCGAAAATTTTGACAGAGCAACGTATCTAGTACGACCATTCGCATTTGGTGAGGTTCTTAACCCGATGAAGGTTATGGTCGCACAATGCCGCTAGAAATTTAATTGTCGCGCGAAGCCTCAATTTTCAAATTTATCGCAATACTCTCTGTGTCAAGCTTATGCACTCGATGCTCACCATCGAGGACAAATTAATGGGTCGCGCGCAACAGAAAGGTAATCACGTTAACGGGGAACACGCGTAATTAGCGATAAAATTAGAGAAACGAAAGTCCATTGATTTTTAACTCGAGCGACGCTTTAATTGTCGTGAATAATTATAAGTGACGCGAAATCGCGATCCATCATCTTGAGATCTTTTGCCGAAATCAATTTTGAAAGATCGGAGATGGTAATTAGAAGACGCGTGTGATTAATGAGCTCCGTGTCGCTTTAATCGCGAGATGTCGAGTTGAAAATTGCTCTTTCTCAACAACGTTCAATTCTTGTCTCATCAATATGAAAGATCAATTTCCATTGATAGATATATAATCGCGAATAGATGAAGCAACGTATGAAAAATTTGAGTACAAGATAATTATGAAGAAGTTTTAATTAAAAAAAAAAAGGTTTAAAAAAATTTTATCTCACGTACAAATAAGCGGAATATCTATGCCCTTAAAGCTTAAACCACCTGTTTTAGATAGATTTTCGAGAGATAAAACGTTGAAATTCGATTTCATACCGAAGTGATCCATTACGAAGTAACTCATTCATCGTAACTTTCATGATTTGAAATTCCAGGGATTCTCCTGGTACGCGGATCGGAAATATTATTAACGAAATATTTCCATTGCGATTACGTAAATCATTTTCATAACCGTCAGGTTATAATGTCGACCCGTATCGAGTGGCAAGATAAATTAATTATCAAGATAAATTGCCATCGATCTAGACAACCTCAATTAATCCTTTGCATTCCCATATCTCATGCGACGCGACATTCATGTTTTGTACTACTGAATTTCGCGCTCAACCAAGCAACGCGATCCAGAGATTCCCATGAAAATTACACGAACTACACGATAAAAGTATTCCAAACGATTAAAATATCGAGTGACAGGTTATAATCGATCTTTTAAATCGTTTTGTTAAATCTTTCTCTCTTCTTTTTTTTTTTTTTTTTTGTATTTTTTTTCTTCTTTCTATAAAATCCATTTTAATCCGTATTATGATCCATATTATTTTCTTCGTATCCTTCTATACGCTCTGATTCTGAATTAATACCCTGTTATACGATAATATAATGTTCCCCTAGATATGACGCACGATATTCTCTTAATCAACCCTATTCGTCGAGTCCATATCGCGCAATTAACAAGAGAATGCCTGTCAAACTCACTCCAACCCGCTCAAAACACATCGGCAACAGTTTAAATCAGCATGAAACCACTGAAAAGGGAAACCGAGGGAGGGGGGAAAAAACGAGGCAAAGCAAAGCGAAAAGGGTTCCCTTTCTTCCCACCGTGTCGATTCAGGCTCTTCCAGCCGTTAAAATAACCCCATCCGCTGCCACCTGCAGCCGTCAGAATCCGCACAAAAGACTCGAAAAAGAATCTCCAACCTGCCCGTCCCGAGAATCGTTCGTTGTGTAGGGAGGGGGGGAAAAAAGGCTTAGTCCAAACTGTGAGCGAAATCAACGAGGAGGAGGAGAAGGAGGAGGGAAGGGTGGGTAAACGAGGCAGAGAAGGGAAGTCGCCGATGGCTCGACGAAAGCATCAGCATATTATCATGACCATGTTCGACCTGCTTTTGACATATCTATTACGCGTTTCCGAATAGAGGTGACTTCGAATTCTATGCCTGTTCCGTGCCCATCCTCCCTTCCCCCCTCCCTCAATGGCCGTATCCCTTCGCTCTCTGTCTTCTTCCCGCAGTTTCGGGGTCCGGGGGAAGAGAAGAGATACCGGAGGGCGGAAATGGAGAAAGGGGTTGGAAACTGCAGGGTCGAAGGGAGCCCCCCCCCCCTCTTCCCCGAAACCCCAGAGTGGGTGGGATCGGTGGTGCAGACGTAGAGGTCCAATTAATCAGCCGAGGCGTGAAACGAGAGGGGAAACGTGAAAGGGAGGGAGTGATTCGGTGGAGGGTCAGAGGGATGTCGCAGGGATTGCGGTGACAGATCCGCCGTATCTATCCCTATCTGCTCGGGGCATTAAATTCGCGCGATGCCAGTACCGGTGCCGTCAGCGGCTGGTTCCTCTTGAATCGGTTAACATTCCGTTGTATGCGTTGCTTCAGCTTTCAATTAAACGGTTGCACATCATCAATTGGACGCGTCTCGTCCGCGGTTTTAATTCAATCCTCCGATCCGTATCCTAGAAAAAAGAAGAGTTGTAGATTTAGTCGAGGAAAAGATCGATGGAAGATCAATCGAATATATTTTGTAGTTGGTGTTATATGGAAGTAGGAAAAGGTTCAAAAAGAATGTAAATTTGGTTCCATTCCATTTATGAAACTTTGATTATAAAATTTCATTACGATTCAAACGATTTGCTATGATCGTGCAGTGATCCAATCGATTCCTTTTTTTTTTGTTCTCTCTGCATATCGTGAACGTTCCATTTTCCGTAGGAGAAATAACTGAAACAGAATTTTGTTCGGTGTTAATGAAATACGCCGGGTGATTATTTTTGATAAAAGTTAAAATGAACTTTGTGTCGGCGCTCGATTAATGAAAAAAAAAAATGGAGGGGGTGTTCTTCGGTCGCTGCAACTTTTTGAAACCATTTTCCCTTTAATTGTAAATTGTTCTCGTAATTTCACTTAATTGCAACGAAGATGAGGTCTAGACTTTTTAATTCTTTTCTAATTTCGCGAATTATACGCACTCGAATGCAAAATAGAAAGGTGAAACGATTAAAACAATTTCACCGTTAAAAATATAAAAACGTTTTAATTTTCTCAATTTATTTGACTTTTAAAAAATATTTCAGAATATTTCAGAAGATGAACGATTATCATTCCTAATAATTTATTATTTTTTGAAAAAAAATTTAGATAAACAAAATCTCCGCATTATCATTTTCCATATTATAAAATATTTCGGTTTCTCTTTCTTTCTTTTCTTTTTCTTTTGCAATCAATTACAGTTGTTTCTTATCAGATGTTAACGAAAAAATGCAATGCTTGCAATAACAGTCGCTGATGTCCCTTGCGGCCAAGGAAATATTGGTATACGCACGGCAAGACTAGTCGGGGGACAAAATGCGATACCGCACGAGTTTCCTTGGATGGTGAGCATCAGCAGAAAAGGAGGACACTTTTGCGGTGGTACAATACTTAATTCAAAATACGTTCTGACTGCGGCCCATTGCCTATGTTCGTAAGTAAATTTCATGTATATTCTCTATATTACACACAATTGCGCGATTTTACTAATTAACTAGCATTTTAATAAATATTCCATATATTCTGTTTAATATTTAGATAATAATTAATTATGGAAATTATAGAATAATATACAAGGTATAAACGGTTTTGGAAATCATGTCTGTAATTGATTAAAATACACGACTTCGATTTATAAATGGAATAAATACACGATGCATTTGAATATGTTGTTTTATTGTTATGTTGTTACAAATGTTTATTTGTTTTAAAACGATCATTCATTTAGAAACATATATGAAAGAAAGATTCGTTGTTGTATCTAAATATCGTACCAAGTCTATATTATTGTGTATGTAAGCGAACAAATTTTGCAATATGTACAGAGATATAGGTACAGTGTTGAAATGAAATGAATTTTTATACAACAAAATCTCGATATGAATTGGATAAAAAATTGGATAAAAAATTGTTTCAAAATTTTACATAGCAGAACCTTTGAAATTTCCAAACGTTAAAAAATATTTTATAATAAAAAAAAAAATACTAAAAAAAAAACGAAATATCATCGATGATTATTCAAATAGAAATTCTATCCTGTTCAAGCATCGAATCTGTTTAAAAGAGTTACTCTGTTATTGTCCAATATCCAACCAACTACTATCCAAACATCTTGAATATTTTCACGATATTATACTTTAATTTTATTTATAAATTCAAAATAAATCGGATCGATTCGGGAACTTGTTTCGTCGACAGTTCGCGAAAAATATCGAAAAAAGGAGCACCTAAATTTCAAAGTATTACAATATCGATCGAATGGATAGTTTATACCTCCATTCTTTGCAATAATGCTGGTATACGCAGTGTTCGCGTAATCAATATGCAGGTTGCCATCGAAAATATTCATGGCAGAAAAACGACTGTTTCTTCATGGAAAGCTGCCCATTGTTCTCTGTAATCGAATCTACGAGCGCGACACGAGAGAGAGAGAGAGAGAGAGAGGAGGAGGGGAGTATTCTTAGTCCGGA